GTAAACAATCACATAATTCACAATAAAACATTAAAAAAAAAAAAAGATTTGAAACAAGAACAAGAACAACAAAATAACAATGGGCTCAAGCATAACAATCGTGAGGCTGGCACTGGATGGAGCAGGATTTCGTTCTGTTGTGCATGGGGTCGCTATAAGTGAAAATCAACTCATCGGCACCTAACAACAATACACTGATGCATTATATTAAGAATGATGTGTCCTGATTGATTGTAATATATCTTGCAAATTTACTCAAAGGCTGTGCAGTCAATTCAATCAAAATACACGAATAATTACAGGTTTTGACAATCCTCAAGCCAACAGACAGGTGAACATTCCACAGAACTATGGTAGGCTATTTGCAAGACAATCAATGTTAGAGACACATGTTGTTGTTAGGTGCCATCCAGTGGTACCGACTCTTAGCGATCCTATGTACAACGGAACGAAACACTGTCCGGTCCTCATGCATACAGTATTTATTAAAATGCAAACCTCAACTCCAAACTTGTGAATCATTGTTTCTGGGAAATATGGCCAAGGGTTGAGCCCTGCTGGCACAGTGAGTGGGTAAGCAACTCTGCTGCTAACCCTAAGGTTGAAACCCACCAGCTACTCCTCAAGAGAGAAGACCTGGTCGCTGAGTCAGAATCATATGGCTCCCATAACGACTTCAGTCTTGGAAATCATACGGGGTCGTTCTACTTTGTCATACAGGATCAGAGTTGGAATCGACTCTATGGCCCAAGGTGTCTTCTTTTAACAAGCACCACAGGTGTGAGCTATGATTAAAGGGCTTTGAAAAGTGGAGTCTCTTTAAAAGAGGGCGCTTTGAGATCGCTCCCTTTGACTGTAGAGCAACTGAGCAGGTGGAGATGGGGGAAAGTCTTCTGATGGCGTCACTCACCACTCCATGGAGAGAAACCCAGACCGCGGGCGCGCTGAGGCGCCCCCTGCCGGCTATTAGCAGTCTTGTCCTGGGTTGGGCCCTGAGCAGCCGACTGCAACTGCGACTGCGCCGGCGACCGGGGGTAGGGGGTACGGACGGGGGGGGAGGGGCGCAATACCGGAGGCGGAAGTGATGTGAGCCCTCGCGTTCCCCGGCCCTCAGGCTTTCCCCGCCTGCTGAGCTAGGCGGGCTCGCGGAATCGCCGGAAACGGAAGTTGCTAGGGGTGGGGAGTTGGAAAGAGTTGGGCTGTCTTCGCGCTGCTGGGGTTCGTGCCGCCCTCTGCCGGAGCAGGTAAAGCACGAGTGCGAGACTTCGCCGGCCCGGCTCACCGACTCTAGCCGGCTTCCGGTCCCGAACTTACGTCCAAGGGGTGTGTTTTTCAGAGGCTCCGAACCCCTTCTCAGGGGTGCTTGTGATCCTCTGGCTCCGGGAGTCCCCTTGTACCCTGTTCCTTCCCCTGGAGTAAAGCCTCGCCTGGCTTCCCGGGTGTTCCCGCAGACCCCGCCATGGGCAACACGAGTAGCGAGCGCGCCGCCATGGAGCGGCACGGTGGCCATAAGACGCCCCGGAGGGACAGCTCGGGGGGCGCCAAGGACGGGGACAGGCCCAAGATCCTGATGGACAGCCCTGAGGACGCCGACCTCTTCCACTCCGAGGAAATCAAGGTGCGGGGGACTTTGCGATCCGGTTCCCGCCACATCCCCTCTAAAACTCGCCATCCGAAGAGGGAAGGGGGTCCTTCACCTTGTCATTTAAAAGTCCAGTGGCCAGTTAGCATCCCGGAAGCCTGTGTCTAATTACTGATTCCAGAAAGTCACCCCGGGGGAGGAAGAACACACTTCCCTTAACTTCATTAAGAAGTAAGCAGCTCTGGGACAGAGTTTCAAATTCTTAATTAAGAGAGTCGAGGTAGCAGTAATTGAGTCCCCAGCTCTGACTGTCCTCTTAGGCATAATTAATTTCACACCTTTGAGAAATCGTCCCTCGCCTTTCCGCCGACTGGCGCTTTTGTTAAAACTCCTGTTGTCGCTTATTGTACATTGTGTTGTTCCCCACTCCGAGTCCCCCAAGTAAATTAGAAAGTAGAGTTGTACAACAAACTGCACTTTCATTCTACCGGAACATTGTGTTCAGCCTGCCAATGTAGAGCGGGAATGGGGAAAGCATTTGACTTCGGGAGGGCAGTGGGTGAGTCAAGTGGCTGCCTCTCTCCCCGGTTGTGTAAATAAGACTGAAGAGTTCAAACAGGCTGAGCAAACCGTTTTTTGCGGGCTGCATCTGAACTCCCTGTTAGAGTTCCACTTTTAACTCATCAAGAACCCTGAAGAAGACAATGCTTAACTCCTGCTTCAGTCCCATTCTCACTGACCTCCTGGTAGGTCTGTGTTTCTTGCTGAGGGTCCTGTCCAGGGACACTTAAGTGAGTCCTGCAGTTGATGTTAGTATGTGGGATACCCACAGAAAGAAAATGATATCAGAATAACTGATTCCTGAAGGGACAGTGCCAGTGGATGGCTGTCAGTAAGTGCCGTTGAGTAGAGGGTTTCTGCGAGCAGCTGGTGAATTTGAAATGCCGCCCTTGTGGTTAGCAGTCCAGTGCTTATCCTAAGCACTATACTAGGGCTCAGCAGAGTAGGTTGGTAGGGATAAAACTTGCTCCACCCAACATATTCTCCTTAGTGTCTGTTGTTATTAAGTGCTGTCAAGTCAGTTCCAACTCAGCAACCCTGTGTAGGGTTTCTGAGGAGCGGCTGGTGAGTTTGAACCACTACCTTTGTGGTTCAAACCAACCTTGAAGTTGCATCCTTATCTACGGTGCCACACCAGGATTCCCTTTAGTATCTAGTAGTAGATTAACCATCGTTGGCTGTTAGGCTAAATTGCTCAGGAACTCAGTTCATTCTTACACACCTTTTCCGTGTTGGGCTGGGCGACTTACTATCTCATTCCTTCACTTGATCTTTGCTTGGTGTCAGCGGTAAAGAGCCTTTGCTCTGAGCTGGTTTTCTAAATTGGTTGCATTCCTGAAAAGCTGGGTGCCAAGTGAACTTTGGAATCACATTATTCCAATAACTTGACATTCCTTCGCCCATAAAAAATTTTGCCCCCTTAACTCCCTCCAATGGCTTTTTTTTAGAGACCATTAAAATGGAACTACTGTCTCTGCAAGGGTTTGGATTGATGGTAGACCCAATTCCTGTGGGTCTCTCATGTGGCCCATGGCTATGGGCACTGATATGGGCTGTACAGCGGAAGAGAAAAGGAGAGGGGGAGATTCAAACTACTTTCTTTAAGAAGGATTTGTTATTCTGATGCTCTTCCCACAATTCCTTGGAGAAGTGTTAAGCACACAGATGATCTTTGGCAAATGATTTTAGAGAGTGCCCAGCCTCATTTCATCAGGAGATACTGGAATCATGTATCGAACACATAGGATTAAATAAAGTCCCCACCAACAGTTCGAGGTTCTTGTCGCTACTCTAGGTCACTGTTTTGGCTGCCGTTAGTCATCGCGTCCTTGCTATAAAGTAAATCTTGTTAGAACTTGAAGAATGCAGGCATCTTCCAGATCAGCTCATGGCTGTTCGAAGGGCTCAAAACCCACTCCACTCCCATATTGGTCTCTCCCAGCCTGGAACGCTTGCTCTTTTGGCTTCTGACCAGGAACAGTGGACGAGATCCATAACCACATCTATTTTCCCCAAACAACTGGATGTTTTCTTTCTTTTGTATTCTATAATATCTTGGTTATGTTGCACTTACCATATTGGAGAAGCCTTAGTGTGGTGCTGTGGGGTAAGCAGTGGATTGCTAACCACAAGGTTGGAGGTGCAAACCCATCAGCCACACATTGGAAACCGTATACGAGGTCGCTAGGAGATGGAACTGACTCAGTGGCACTTAGCAACCACCACCACCACCGTATTGGAAGTTACTGTTTACCCGAGGGGTTCGTCTTTGTCTTATTCATCTTCTCTCCTCAATGCCTGGTGCACGTAGTGCTTTTCTTCTTCTTCCTCCTCCTCCACAGAAATTCCTGTCAGCTTTCAAGCTGATAGAGCTGGAATTGTCCCTAATAAATGTTCATGTCCTGTAAATCTTGCTCTTTTCACTTCAGCTATTCTTGGACTCATCCATTTATTCAGCAGAGCAGTTTACATGGACTTCCAGACTGGTTTGTTAACGATAACCTTAAGAAATGTTGGCTTTATTGTTTCCATGCAGGTGAGGAAACTGAGGCATAGATAGTAGGTTCTAGAGCCTGAATGTGGAGCTAGGTGGCAGCAACTGTCTCTGTAGACTGAATTCTCCCTGTTCAGGGTCACTGGTTTTCGGGAGCTCGTCATGGGCTTCCTGTCCCTAACTAACTGCTCTGCTTCCAGGCTCCCGAGAAGGAGGAGTTCCTGGCCTGGCAGCACGATCTGGAAGTGAACGACAAAGCCCCCGCCCAGGCTCGGCCAACTGTGTTCCGCTGGACCGGGGGTGGAAAGGAAGTGTATTTATCTGGGACCTTCAACAACTGGAGTAAACTTCCCCTCACCAGAAGGTAATGGCCCCCAGGAGAGTTCACACATTTGTTCGAACCCATGGAGACACTTCACTCTGAAAGATCGTTTTTTTTTTTGGGGGGGGGAATGGATGCAGAAAGGACAAGACCCTTGGTGAATCATTCAGAGCGGTTAGATCTCACCACCCTCCCCGCCACAGTGTTTCAGGTTAGGGTAGCCCATTCTTAGAAGAAAACACCTCTCTGTGGAGCATCACTTTAGATGCTCAACAGCTATGTGGGGGGCTTCAAAAGTTGGCAAGAAGAACAAAATCCATATATCTTTTCATTCCATTTTCCACAAACTTTTTGGTGATGACACTCCCCTCCCTGAGGAGGCCAGCACAGTATAGTCTAACACTTCGTCCTAGCCGGCCAAGACTTCTACCTCACACTATCAGTTGTCACTGTACAGGTGAGTTGTTACATGCTGTCGAATTGGTTCTGACCCATAGCAACGTTGTGTGGCGTTTCTCGAGTGGCTGGTGAGTTTCAGCCACCGACCTTGTGGTTCATACCAGCCTTATGGTCGAGTGCTTACCAGGACTCCATACAAGTGTGTGGTATTGACAGATGAAGGGAAAAGCCACATGGGGCCAACAGTGTCAGACTTATCACTGAGCAGCTTGCTTTTCAGTCAGAAATGGAGAAAGAAGGAACATGGTCACCAGTCACTTGGACTCAGAAAAAATAAATGTCAGAGGTCTCCTGGAGTTTTTGTTTAGTACTCGTGCATGTCTCATCGTTAGAGACGATCATGCATTCTATTAGCTGGATCCCCTCTCCTGCCCGAGGCAAACTGCCAAAGCATGGAACTGGGCAGGTGTGTTGATCCTGTATTGTCATTCTCCTTGGCATGAGGTGCTGCCCCTGGTGTTGGCCTACTAGCTAGAGAAGACCAGTGCTTGCTTGTTGACCTTGTGACCTTAGGACTGTAGGCTCCTGGCCTTTGAGCACGTGTATTTTCAGGAAAACCTTGCATTGCTAATTCCTTTGTGCAGAACCAGATCCTTCTGTCAACATTGTCTTTGTTGTTCCCCTACCACTGAAACGTTAGTCTCCCCTGGGACCCTTTTGTTTTCGCCATCACCAGTGAGCTCAGAGGGCGGCCCCCCAGCTGAAGTCCTCTGCTTTCTTTTCTTTTCAGCCACAATAACTTTGTAGCCATCTTAGATCTGCCCGAAGGGGAGCATCAGTACAAGTTCTTTGTGGACGGCCAGTGGACACACGACCCTTCTGAGGTACTCTTCCTGCCAGCCCTCTGTCCCCGGGGTCCCTGCACAATCCATCTTCCCTTAGATGAGTGGCAGGTCCCTTGGCCCGTCTAGGCAAAGTCCCTGTGCGTGGCTGATCTAGGTGGCAGTCCAGATTGTCAGACTGCACGAACCTGACCAAGAGACTAGATGCTAGCCCTCCAGAAACCTTCCTCATTGTGATTTCTGCCTGTCTGTCTCTTCCCAGCCAGTAGTAACCAGCCAGATGGGCACAGTTAACAACATCATTCAAGTGAAGAAAACGGACTTTGAAGTTTTTGATGCTTTAATGGTGGATTCACAAAAGTGCTCCGATGTGTCTGGTATGCCCCAGTTCCTTTATACCACACATGCAGGTGGGGTCTGGCTTCCCTGGCTGTTCACGTGCCAGCTGAAGCTGCCTGTCTGGTGGGTGTTCGTCACTCCCTGAAATGCTGCACCGGGAATTCCTTCAGTGCTGGGGAGCTGAGTCATTTTACTGGTCATCTCTGTTACCCGGGAGGTCTGCTTGGCTACATGAAGCTGGCAGTGGGCAGGAACCCCGAGTGTCACCTCGTACTGTGAGGCCCTGGGAGCCCCATTAGGCCAGGCTTGGTGAAGCCTGGCACCTCACTTTCCATTCAGGGTGCCAGGAACATTTCCGCCTGACGACCCTGATTATAATGTGTTTGCTGCCTCAGGGTCCTTCAGGTTCCTGTCAGGAGAGCAGGAAGCTGCGCGCTCACACTAGTCTGCCTTCCCATCTCCCAAGGGTCTCCCCATCATCCAGGTTTCGGGCTATACTGTTCATGCACACACCGCTGGGATACACTCCAGGAAACACGAGGTTTCCACTAGAGGAGTGTGTGTGGTCATGGGAAATGGCAACACTGCCCCTCCTTCAGGGGTCCGGCAATTCCTGGAACCCGGTGGGAAGCAGTGAGAGGGTTCCCCGGGAATCTCTGTGGTGCTCGCTCTGAGAGTGGGTCCAGGTTGTCGTCTTCGCCGGTGGATGCCTTGTTGTTAGTGCCGAAATCGTGGCAGTAAACGGCCTGGATGGCAGTGTGTGGCTCAGTTGAAATCTAGAACAAGGGGCTTTTCCTGTCGGTTAGCCATTCTTCCAGCTGTCCTTCTCTAAGCAGTTAATCTTTTGTCAAAAGCGTTTCTTTTTTTTAGATAGAAGTGAATCCAGGGATAGAAGAAATGCCCTCCTTGCTAATAAACATCATTTTAGTTTTTATGCCAAGGTTTTTGGGTGCGTTTCTACACTCCAGTTCCCTGGGGAAAGACAAGGGATCTTTCACCACCAGCTAGTAGCCCCCCTGAGGCCCTCTACTGGAGTCTCAGGTACAGACACTTTCACCGGTCAGAGACACAGTCTCCTGATGGGTTTTCCGCACACAACACTTTGCTCAGTTTCTTGCTGAGATGCGGCTGGACTTTGTGAAAAGGGCCGGGCTCTGGAAGATGACTTGGAGGGGGTTTCTGGAGCCAGGGTACCACAGACTTCCTTGGGGACCTCAGAGGTTTTTGGGTAATGACACAAGTCTCTTGCAGTGCCACATGTCATTCAGTGAGCTGCCTCTAACCCAAGGAAATGGAGCCATTTTAGAAAAGTCCTAAACAGCTTTGGTGACGCGGTGCTTAATTGTGGGCTGCTAACCCAAAGGTTGGCTGTTGGAATCCACCATCTGCTGCTCAGCAGAGATGAGGTGGTCTGCCTCCGCACAGATCGATCTACAGCCTCAGAAACCCTGGGGGGCAGTTCTGCTAGGAGTCGCAGTTGACTGGTTAGCACTGGGTTTGCTTTTTGTTAGGATCCCTGGTGGTACAGTGGTTAAGCGCCTGGCTGGTAACTAAGGGTTGGCAGTTCAAACCCACTAGCTGCTCCTTGGGAGAGAAATCGGCCAACTGCTGCTTCTAAAAAGATGTACAGCCTGGAAACCCTGGGGGCAGTTCTCTGTCCCGTGGGGTCTCTACGAGTTGGAATGGGCCTGATGGCAGCGGGCTTGGGTTGGGTTTGAACGTATTTCAGGCAAGAGCATAAAGAATCTGGGCATTTGGAAAGTGAGTTTTCAGTTTGTTTTGTTTTTTAAAAACGTTCCAGGGCCTGCTGTGATTTGATTTCTCTGTGGCCCTGTAGGAGCAGGCTGCTTGATCTGCTCTTTGCTTCTGGCCGGTGGTTCTCACTTAATTCTCACCTCAACTCTGGAGCATCCTCCTGGCGTCTGCCAGCCCAGCCTGAAGGGTGATTGGCAGCTCCTCTTTGTTCCACTGGCCCAGATGTACCAACTCCCCAAACTCCCGTTGCCCACCAGAACCTCAGCCTGTACTGTTGTGTGTCCTTTCGAGTGTCCTTCTGTGTCCAGCAAACAAGAGAACAGGCCCAGACCTCCCCTAGAACTCCCACTGTTTACAGAGCCACCCCGTCACCTCTTGTTCTCTCTGCACAGAGCTTTCCAGCTCCCCACCAGGGCCCTACCACCAGGACCCCTATGTTTCCAAACCCGAAGAGCGCTTTAAAGCGCCCCCCATCCTTCCGCCGCACCTGCTCCAAGTCATCCTGAACAAGGACACGGGGATCTCGGTGAGTCACAGGCTCCTCCTCAGTCCCCCTCCCGCAGGGCAGCTGGTGAGAAAGCTCCGTGTCACCCATGAGCGCTAAACTGCTGTGTGGCCCTGGGTGTGGGTGCCGCCTCCCCCGTCTCGGCCTTCCCAATTCTCTCTGCCTGACGATGCCCTTCTGCCTTCTGCCAAGCCCCATCCCATTCATGTTTCATGGTAAAATCTACAACCACCCTTCTTAGTTAGCTGTGTAGGGAATTCCTTCCCCTCTTGGAGAATCCTGGTGTGGTACTGTAGGATAAGCACTGGACTGCTAACCTCAAGATTGACTGGTTCAAATCTACCAGCTTCTCCTCGGAAATCTTACACAGGTTCCAGCTCTATTAAAGTAGGAACCACCTTGATGGCACTTAACAACATTGGTGCTCATAGAATAAAACGTGAGATACCTGGGAAAAGCACCTTCCCTCTGGAAGATGGGTGTGAGCGTGCCAAAGGAAGTGTTTGTGTCCTTCTTGATCCCTGTGGCCGACCTCTCTACTTTGTCAGCCCGGTGTCGGGGCCACCTTGCTTTGGCGTGCATGGCATCACTCCCATGCTCGACACTAGACTAAACCCGCTTCAGCTCTGTCCATGTGTGCAGACATGTGATCGGACTAAAAGTGAGGATCAGGCCAGGAGCCGCCCACAGTGGGTGTCGGTAGGGCTGCCAGGCAGAGCTCTGGTCGTAGCCCAGCCCAGTGGGACCTGCCTTGAGCAGAACGCAGCTCCCTCCCCTCCGGGCATAGCCAAGAAGAGGCTCATGGTAGCACACAGGCCACCTCCGCTAAGCCTGTTTCCAGCGTTACCTTGGCTCCATCTCAAAACAGACAACAGGTAGAGAACTAGAAGGGCATGTTTAACTCTGACTCTACTCTTCCTGCTGCTGCCTGATCCCCCCACCCAGAACAGAGGCATTGCTACCTGCCTTCTCTAATGGAAGACCACTTCTGGACTAGACCAGCCAGGAGGGGCCACGGGAGCTGGGGGTCAGGGGTGGTGACCTAGGCAACTCAGGACCCTCTGTGTGAGACAGCACTAAGCCCCAACGCAGGTCAGTGCAGACTGGTTTAATCCAAAATAGTGTGTTTATCAGGCCTTGAACTATTCTGTGTGCTCTTCTTGGAGCCCCATTTGATTGGCACAGTGTAAGGCAGGGATGGGATGGGCAATTCGGTATGAAGACTGCAGGGCCACACAGTAAGTGGCAGAGCCGGTTTGCTGCTCCAGGCAGGGTGGCATGAGACCTTGTGCCCCAGCAGATGCCCTGCACGGCCTCCCCCTTTGTGACTCAGGTTTCTTCATGTGGGATTACAAGATGCAATGTCCACAGGGCCAGCTCCCCACACCCAAATTCAGCTTCACTGTGGGCTTGTGAGCCTCAGACCTCCAAGAGTGGAGGCCCCTCTGTGCAGTGGTGTGAGGAGGGTGGTCCCAGCCCCCATTTAGAAACATCTCTGAGCAGTCCTTAACAAAAGCGAGATCTGGAACATTGGTTTTTATACTGTCTGCCAGGGTCTGGGGGAGAGGCAGAGCTTCCCACCTTCTCCACCGCACCCCCCCACCCTCCAAAGACAAAACTATGGGTCCAATTCTAGAAGCTAGGGCCAAGACATTTTTTAAGTGACATCAAGTCAGTTCCGACCTATGTTGACTCTGTATAGGGTTTCCGAGAAGCAGCTGGTGAGCTTGAACCTCCAACCTTGTGGTTCAAACCGACTTTGCAGCACATTAACCCACGGCGCCACCCGAGCACTAGCAAGAGATAAATTTGATGTGACGTGTTCAGCGTACTTGCAGGGGGGGGTTCCCCTTAGGCTGGAGAGTATGACCCCCTCAGCCTGGCCTAAAGCCCTTTAAAGTGTTTTGGAAGGGATGTAGGCCTGGGGCTATGACAAAAGGGAAAGTCTATTTCCAAACTCAGAATGCTTATGTCTGTCCTTGTGCCCCGCAGTGTGACCCAGCCTTGCTCCCTGAGCCCAATCACGTCATGCTGAACCACCTCTATGCCCTTTCTATCAAGGTAAGGACCTGCTTCCTGCTGGTATAGTCCTGGTTCTCACATGACTGGGGGTGGGGTACTTCCAGGGCCTGAGGCAGAGCCATAGGCTCAGGTTCTGAAGGTGGGCCTAGGAATTGGTGTTTTCACTCAGCACCTGGTTTCTGCCCTCTTCGTAGGATGGCGTGATGGTGCTCAGTGCCACGCATCGGTACAAGAAGAAGTACGTCACCACTTTGCTCTACAAGCCCATATGAAGAGCAGGGAGCAGACCATGGGCCACAGGGGAAGCATTGCCACCACCAGGCTCCACCGTGCATGCTTTATGCTAGAGGGAATGGACTGTAGATCTCTCATTTCACACTCTTTAAGACATTTCGCACCTGCCCGAGTCCTCTGGGAAGGCTGGTTTCAGGCACAGGCAGCTCCAGGAGAGCCAGTCTCCAGCAGTCCTCTTCTCCCCCAGTGCTGGGAGCCTCATCCAGGGCCAGATGATCTGTGGCCTGCACCACGCCTCGTGAGGGCCAGTGTTCCTCTAATTACACGTCCTCTAGCCTGCTCGTGGAGATGTTCCTTAAGCTAGAAATGAATGCTCGTCAACATCGGGGAAGTGAGGGCCGAGGCCACACAAAGTGCCTAATGGGTGTACATCCTCAAGGCCACTGACTTGCCCCGGTGGGGCACTATCAGGAAGGAATCCGCTAGTCTTGCCTGTCCTTTGCAATCAAAGCAATAGATTTTCTCCTGTTCTGTCCCAGGGAGGCGAACTTTCTATAGAATTTAGAACCTGTCTGATTTCCAGATGACGTTTTACACTTGTTTCTTAACTTAGGTGCACTAAGTACTTTGTTTCAACCAGAGGTGGTGGGCTGTGCAGCCTTCGGTTGGGGTTCCGCCACCTCACTTGAACGGATCATGTGTGACGTGCTCAGCAGTAATCTGTGCTCAGCCGTTCTAGGAGAATGTTGGAGGCGCTCGCCGGGTTTGGATGGCAGCCAAGACCTCTGCCTCCAGTTAACAAAAAGGCTGCAGCTCTTGCTGCCATTTGTGCTAGAAGAGCTGCACCTGGACAGCAGCTTTCTAAGTTCACGCCTGGGAGACTTCCTTGGGACCAAAGCCAAGGGCTGGGTTTCTCTCCCCAGGGCCCAGATTACAGGGAGGGAGCTGCCCTCAGACTCCTAAGTCCCAGGAGTTACGGGTGTGCCCTGCGCTACTGCTGGGATGGGCCTGGTTTCCAGTATTTATTTGGTCAACCTGAATTTGAAGTTCCCTTTTTTTGTTAACTGTTTTCAAAACACAGAATGACTGTCACCTTGTTTCAATAAAGCTTTTTAAAGATAATCGGGCATGCACGTGGAGGCTGACCTTTTCAGGGTCAGTCAGTGCAGTGATTGTCCATTTGTGGGACACAGGCTTTGGTTGGGGCAGTGTGTGTGAGTGGATAGGGCTGCGCCTATTGCCCCAGGAGCTGAGGGCCATTCCCGGGACACTCCGAGTCTCCACACACTTTGGAAGCCCGTTATGGGGGCGCCTCTGAGACCCAGGGGAACTGATGATGAAGGCTGTTCTCTGCGGCCAGAGGCTTTGCTTCCTCTCTGAACTGCTTGTAAGCCCCTTACCTGTGTTACCAGCTGGTACATTACCCAGTGTCCCTGATGCCATAACGATGTCCCTATAACCCTTTCCCTCCCAGGCACTAGGAAACATTTAAAACCTACAAAGCCAAACCCACGGCTGTCCAGTCAGTTCTGAGTCCCAGTGGCCCTAGAGGACAGACTAGACTGACTCTTAAGGGTCGCACAGACAGTCCGTCTGATGAGAGCTCAGAGCCTCATCTTTGTCCTACAGAGTGGTTGGTGGGTTTGAACCACTAACCTTGCGGTTAGGAGCCGGATGCACCACCAGTGGAGTGGCCAGGGAATCTCACCTTGAAACCTCTAGTGATGGGGGATCCTAGGTTTTCCAAGTTAAGACTTACCTGCTGCTAAAGCCAGCCCCTGAACAAGCCACTTCCCGGTCTTGTGCCACCAGCATGATCAGTGGCAGATTAGAATGTGATCACTGGGTTTCACTAGCTAAGGGATTGCTTAACTAGAAGAAAATAATACAAATCCTGTTTCTAAAACTGGATAAATCATTAAAATAAGTATTTAAAGTCAAAAGTGTAAGAAGGACTTGTTCAGGTACCCGTGCCACCACTCTGAGCAGAGATGAGACTCTGGCTGCCTGCCCGCCTGAGTAAGACCTCAAAAAAAGTCACTGCCCTGGGCTGCTAGAGCAAACTGCAAGAAGGTGGGTCTAAGATGGGTGTGCCAATGAGCTCTAGTGACAAAAGTGTCCAGTGTAGAAATGAGGTCGGAACCAGAAAACACGGAACGTCCAGGGAATGCGACCTTGGTGATACAGGTTACAGACAAACATGCACCATGTAAAATTCCGCATGTTCTATAGCTTCGTATACCTAAAAACCTAGGTTTTAAAGTTACATGTAAGGAAGCCCCTGGAAACACGGCCCACAGATCCAAGTGACAGACACCCCAGTATAGTGCTAAGAGGAAGGGGCATCAAAAAGTTCACAGAGAAGGGGAATTGAAAAAAAAAAACACACACACAAAAATTATCTCCACAAACTTTGAAGCTGGCTTCCTCCGTGACAGTGAAGAATGAGGATGTCCTAAGAACCAGCTGAATTCCTGTGTGGCGTTGTGGATTCGTGTGCTGGGCCGCAAGGTCAGCAATTCAAGCTCACCAACCACTCCTTGGAAACCCTATACAGGGTGGCTATAAGTCGGAACCGACTTCACAGCACTTAACAAGAACCGGTTAGTCTACTGCCTTTTCCATTGGAATTCCCTTTGTGGGTGAGGACAGGTTACACAGTTAAATTTTAACTCAGAATGCTTTTGAAGGAAGAGTTTTCCTTCAGGAAATTGATGAAGTGATCAAAGGTAGAGCCTTCCAATGTAAAAGTCCTGTTGCAGGGTAAATAGAGCCAAAGAACAAAATACGGGACCCAAAGATCAGAGTGTTCTGACCAGGCCGTCTCCTCCCCTCTGGCTCCACCTATGGATGTAAATGAGGTTAAGTGGCTGGAGCTCCAAGACCTGACATGGTCATGCTCTCACTGGCCATTCCCAAAGACTAGACACCACTGAGGTCAGGGTTCTTAGTTCAGTTCAGCCGCTGACCAGCTCCAAATCCTCCCCTGCCAAGCCAGAAGGGTGGGCCTGGGATTAGCACTAAGTGGTCCTCAGGGCTTCTTTTAGCACAAGAGCTTCAATACCTCCCATGGATGGGACGTGACCAGAAACAGTAGAACAGTAAGGAGCCAGGAACAAAGAAAGGGCCAAACCTCCAAGACTCCCAAGTCCAGGATGGAAGACTAAGAACATCAAAGTGGTACTCCTCCATGACTGAGGTCAGGGACGAATCCATTTTGGAAAAAACTAAAACCTGATTTAGTGTCTGAGCCATGTATTTGCTTCTCCTTGTTCCCTCACCAGCATTTACAGAGAGTTTGAATGAGGTGAAGATCCAAGTCTCTAGACCACTCAGCAAATTTCCATCCAGCTTTGAAGGAATCCTTTAACACCTCTCTTGCTCAGCAAATTGGTAGGGAAAAGGAATTAGAGCCTTCTGCCCCGAGGTGCCAACTACAACTGCCAAATGTTCATGAGAAAACAAGGAAGTCATGAATAAAATGGATGTGCAAAAACATCCACAAGATCTTAAGGATCCTCACTGAGGTGAGTCACACCCTTGGAGAGGAGCCCGAAGGAGAAGCAACAGCAAACCCAACCTCTGGGCCAGGAGCGCTGGCAGAAACCACGGGGCTCAGCCCTGAGTGTCAGCTCTCACAGCCACATTACCTTTCTTCCCCTTCTACAGCTGCATGGCTTTTGCTTCGGTGAGTCCTCACTGCTCTTCCATACCAGTTTGGTCGCCATTAGTTAAAGCACTTGGTTACTGACTCAAAGATTGGTGGTTCAAGTCTACCAAGTGACTCTGCAAGAGAAAAGACCTGGAGACTTGTAAAGATTGCAGCCAAGAAAACCCTGTTGGGCAGTTTGACACTTTTATACCGGGTTGCTACGAGTCAGAACTGATTTCACAGCACCTAGCAACAGAAAACTTGAGAGAGGAGGCAAGTGAGGAGACAGGACTCAGTTGCAGATGTGTGTACCTTGGGTCCACTTTCCTTCTGTGGTCCTCTGAGAGAGCTGGACAGATGAACAGGACCAGATTCTATAGTCATTTCCAACGTCCCTTACTCTACCTCTTAAACAACTGTTCATGGCAAACAGAGCTCCATCAATCATTGACAGATTCAAGGAAAAACAAAGTGACCAGGACTGAATTTCCACCGTCCCTACCCACCTTCAGGAAGAGAAAAAAACCCTCAACGTTTGTTCCTTAAGCAGGTGATAAATATGTTTTATGTGTAAACACTGAGTGCCTAATGCCACAATTGCGCCCAGGCTTTAAGCAATCTTTAAACTGCCAAGAAATCTGACTACAACAGACCAAGAGGCCTCAGCCTTGCGCTCCTGACTCTTTGGGCCAGATAACTGTTGTGGGGGTTGTCCTGGGCACTGTAGGGTATTGTGCAGCTGCCAGGGCCTTTGCCCACTGTGGTGATGTGGCACCCCCCAGTGGTGATGGCTAAGCATGTCTCCAGACATGGCTGGAGAGCCACGGGAAGAGGCCAATTTAACTGCTGGTGGCATCGTTGGTTATGTGTTAAGCTGCTATGGCAAAGTCAACTGTTCAAATCCACCAGCTGTTCCACTTGAAAAATATGAGGCTTTCAGCTCCCGTAAAGATTTACAGCCTCAGAAACCCTACAGAGGCTCTCTATGAGTCAGAACTGGGCACACAACCACCACCACCAATGAGAAAGCAAAAGCTTAGCTGGTTCCATCCATAGGCCTAGCCTTAAGGCTTTAGGTTACACCAGGAGGCCTAATGCTGACTAGCCGCTAAGCAAAGGATCTTCTTTTGGCTGAAATCTCCAAATTTTTATAGTTTTCATGATTACAAAATTGACAGTGTCTTTAGTCTCATGAAAATTCAGTTGTAAGTAGCAACATCTTCCCATCAACAGCTGACTGCTTAACGGCTCTAGAGGCCCTATCTTTGGGGGATGATTTGTGACTCATTTGAGGGGTTTTAAAGTTATCTGTCTTTGTGTGCCGCTGTGGGTTAATGCACCAGACTGTAAAGCCGTTTGAATTGCAAGGTCGGTGGTTCAAGCTCAGCAGCTGCTCCTCGGAAACCCTGTAACAGGGTCGCTATGGGTCGGAACCGATTCGACGGCACTTAACAACAAAGTTATCTAGGGAAGTTAAAAAAAAAAAAGAGAGAAGCCAAGAAAACAATGTAAAGAAAACATAAGTCCTCACCACTGAACCAATAAACAGCATTAATAAACATGGAGAAAAGATTGAAGCTGTCCAAGACTTCATTTTGCTCAGGCCAGCCATCAACACCCATGGAAGCAACAGTCAAGAAATGAAATGACATATTGCATTAGGCAAATCTGTTGTACAAAACCTCTTTAAAGGGTTCAAGATTAAAGATATCAGTTTGAGGACTAAGGCATGCCTGAACCAACCAAGCCAGGGTATTTGCAATAAACTCATATGCATGTGAGAGTGGGAAAATGAATAAAGAACACTGTACAGTTGATGCACTTAAATTATGGTCTTGAAAGAGAATATTTTAAGTACCATGGACTGCCAAAAGAACAAAACAATCTGTGATGGGAGAAGTACAGCCAGAATGCTCCTTAGAAGCCAGGGTAGCCAGACTTCACCTCTCATACTTTGGACGTATTATCAGGATGGACCAACCTCAGGGAAAGGATATTATGATTTGTAAAGTGGAGGGACAGTGAGAAGGAGGGAGACCCCCAACAAGATGGACTGGCACAGTGGCAGCAGCAGTGGGCTTGATGTAACGATGATGATGGGGTTGACGCAGGACCAGGCAGTGTTTTGTTCTGTTGTCCATAGGTGCTATGAGTCGGTACCGATTTGATGGCACCTAACAACAACAACAATAGCAGTCATTCTGTGCTTCAGGATCACACGGGAACTGCAGTTGTTAAATGCTGCTGAGTTGGCTCTGACTCACAGCAACCCTATACAGGATCCCAAGGAGCAGCTTGTGGGTTTCGACTGCCAACCTTGTAGTTCGCAGTTCATTGCTGATCTACAGTGCCACACCAGAAGTCCATTTTTGATGCAGGGGCTGAATAATTTGTTGATTGTTTGAGGCCCTTCCTTAGGGACCAAAGCATCTTTCTAGCACATTCCTTTTTGGCAACAACCCATGTTTAATAGTGCTTTTCAAGCATTCTGTGGCTCCCAAGAATACCCAAGGCAATCAGTAACCAAACGGTTGGTATTTAATTGATGCTTTCCTAACATTACAAGAGCCCTGGCGGCATAGCAGGTTACACATTGGGCTGCTGAACACAAGGTAAGCAGTTTGAACCCAGGTACCACTCTGTGGGAGAGACAAGGTGGTCTGTGCCGCTAACAATTTACAGTCCCTGGAATTATGGGAGCAGTACTAGCGCCCTGTAGGATTGTTGTGAGTCAGAATCCAGCCTGTGGCAGCCGGTTTGGTTTGGATTTCCAACGTTATGAGGATAGAAAGGTCTCAGCATTTAACTTGTTCAACAGCTGCACGATCTTCATTCTGCAGTGACCGTGTGGCAGATTTTTATGGCCAACAGTAAATTACAAAAGAGAGACAAAATCGCGACCGTTGATTAGGTAATAACCTGAGATATGACGCTGCAGGTCAAACTTTGACTGTGGTCAGTTAACCTCATTGGAAAATAAGAATCAAAGACCAAAAAAAAAAAAAAATTAAAAAAAACCCACAACAGGAACAATGAGAAAACCACCCTTTGCTAAAACAGATGTTTGTCTGGATAAAGCAAAGTTTACGCTGCTAAGTGCTGGGGCATCTGCTCTGACTCACAGCAACCCTGTGAGGGGTTTCCACGACTTGTAAATCTTTGAGGGCGCAGGCGAGAACCTCATCTTTCTTCCTTACAGCAACTGGTGGGATCATGCTGCCGACACTGTGGTTTGGAGTCCAGTGCTTATCTTACAGTGCCACACCAGAACTAGCTTAGTGAACTTAAACAAAGGCATCCTAGACGCAATTTACCTTATAGACTGTAAAAATTCTAGTGAAAAACAGTACTTACATTTCATACAGTCTTGATCTGAACTCCTCCCTCCATTATGATATTATTAATAAATTCCCTACAGCCTGATCATAACGGATAAGAGAAACTAGTAAGTTGACCTGTTTTCTCTGTAAGAGAACTGAATAATCCATTCTTGAGTAATTCTTTCAAAATGGCTTGCTTAACTGCTTAATGGGCTTTCTAGTTCTGTCCTGTAAAATGACCATAAATTTCATGGTTCGTGTACAATTCATGGTTCACTGGAAGTTAAGACCAAACTGTAGACAATGCCCCTCATTGCCGTTTTGGTAGAGACACTGTCAGTCTCTGAAATCTAGGACAGCAGTCTAGTATTCTCACCACTGGATACCTCCCTACCCAAGGATTCCCCCAGAGGACAGGTTACCCCCAAAGTCAACAAGATCCCGCCATGATAGGAAGCCAACACCGACACTTCCCAGACCTCAGATTGTTCTACGGTCTCAAGAAAAGAAGAGGTGGCTGTACTACAGCAAATGTTTTAGTTGGTTGCTTTATTTTGCTATTGTTCAACAACAAAGTCCATTCCTCTCAAGGTGGATCCTGGATTATTCCTTTTGTTCTCTTCCTTGTTCTGAATAAAAAAGGTAATGAAGAAAAAGCCTGTACTTTGGAGAACTAAGATCTTATTGACACTAATAAACATTTGACTGCAATTTCAGGTTACGATATTTCCTGCTGGAGTTCCCCACCCTCCTACGAAGATGGCTGTCCACAGCTTCCACCATTGAAACCAAAAGTAAGTGTTGAAAAATGCACCTTTTACAATAAAAAAGTATAAACCAATTCAATTTCCTTTTTGTGTTTGTTTTAAGAATATAAAGTTTCTTGTAAATATGTACAGTCTTTTGAGCTAGTTCTATAGCAGGAAGCGTTCCACAAATGAGACACATGGTATTACACTTTTAGGGCTAAGAAACCCATTTTTCATGGAGATCCTAAATGAAATGCCAAGACTGAAAGACCAATTTCAGTGACCTTTCCAAATACTTGTGGACCAAGAGACAAGACCTTTAGCAGACATTCAGTCAAATCTTCCCTGGGGGAGGGAGGGGACTGAGTACAACCTCAAAGACTTCAAGCAACACATAAACACAACAGCATGGCGCTTGCCAAAGGTGCTACAACATAGAGGCTCATGGGAAATTCAAAGGAGAAAGCACTTAGGTTAAGAGACGAGCAGGAAGGAGCCAGGATTTGGGCCAGGCTGCAATCTGGAAGTGAGCTACGCTGTGGACACAAGGCTCGGACAACATGGTCATGTTCACTTGTTGCAGTGGAAACGGGTCTACCTTTCAGCCTACCTAGGATGTGCCTTGGTTGTTCGAGGCTTCCTAAGAGTCATGGAGAATCCAAAGCAAGAGTTGCCTTGTGGGAAATTAAAGGCAGAAATAAGGCCGCTAGTTAGCTTGCCCAATGCAAAACCTCTAGGTTGTTTCCATACCAGCTGCCAGGAATTCTGCCCTGTAGAAGAGGGCACAGAGAAGTCCCGAGGGCCGCCCTGTGCAGAGTTGGCAGAGTTGAGGTGCGGCGCCTGTCTCAGGCTTCGGGGTCTTCATTCTCGCCCTAGGGAAAGGCTAACTTGGGAAGTCACAGTTTTGTGGGGGTAGAACCGTGCTGGGGCTTGTGTGAACACAGAGTCGTCGTCTGTGAGGGAAGTGTTAACGGTGGAGGGGACACTGAGTTTGAGGCGGTGGTTTGCCGAAATCCTTCTCTGGTCGTAAGGCTTGAGCGTTTTGAGTGTGTGTGTGTGTGTGTGTGTGTGTGTTTCAGTGCTACAGACTGCAGCTTGTTTTGGCGAGTAATTTGGCAAGTCGGCAAAGGGACTCAATTCCGGGGGAGCTTGGTAAGGTATCAATGCACTGTGAAGCAACCCAAGGTGGTCAGCCAGCTCAGTGGGGTCAGCGCATGCAGCAAACCGCCATGCAGGACTCCTGGGCAGGGTCTCTCCCCCGTCCCAGAATGGGAGCAGCACTCTTGTCTACAGGTGAGAGGTGGGAATACCTGGCCCCTCCCCAGTCCAGAGACCCACTGATGTTGGGTGCAGAGCAAGCTGAGCACATGCTTTCCTGGCCAAAGCTAAATGGAAGTGGGGATGGCAGACTGGGAGATGACACTGGGGGCGGAAGGAAAATGCTGTGAGGTCCCTTGGCCCCTAGTCACTGCCTCCGTACATTCTCAGCTGGTGGGAGGGGAAGTTTGTCAAGGCCATAAAAGGCAATGAGGACAGTAAACATTTGGCTATGATGTAACCCTGGGTGGGCCATCTGTGAGGATGGACTCGAACAAGAATGAAGCTACAGGAGCGCGGGCAGGAGGCTAGCAAACCGATGGGGACTCTTCTACAACACAGTTCAGTAGCGAAGACCCAATGGTCTGGTCTAGCTAAAAAGGACTACAACAGGAAATACATTACTATTCAAATCTATTACGAATTCTGTTGTCTTAAAAAGAAAGGGAAAAAAGAAGAAAAAAAAAAAAAGAAATGAAAAGAGACAGAGAGAAAACGCCAACCATCCCTAAGATCTTAAAGTAGCTATTAACTAGAATTCTAACCACGCTGCTGATGGCGTCTGGGTTGGTTTCCTTGGATGAAGTTGTACAGGCTGGAGCTCAGTACAAACGTTTTATGGATGCTCTGAAAGAGTAACAAAGTGCAAAGAGGATGACTGCAGGAAGGTATTGGGAGGAGACGCCAAGGTGTGACGGCTCCGGAGTGCCTTGGCCACCTGTACCTCCTGGACACAGGGGTGTCCTTGCTGAGGGGCCTGGGTCCAGCTGTGCCCCGTAAGGCTGAGCAGATGCTCACCAAAGCCACCTTCAGTGGAGTTCCATAGTTCGTTTGGCGTCTTCCTGCAGACTGGGATGAGGAGTTGGTTTTCCCAGCTGGAATTTATACCGAAGACTGGTCCCAGACCTAAGAGCAAAAGGAGGAAGATGAAGCCGTCATTCAAATCCAGAAACAGCAGAACTCACTTTGCATAATGAAAACAGGAAGTTGGCCACACCTGGTCCATCCCTCTGGGCTGTAGAGTTCTCTGCTGGGCAGCATCACCTCCCAGGCCTCAGGATGCCAACTCACCTTATTGACCTGGGATAGTGGGGTCCTCACAGCCCCCACAGGCAGCCGGCCTCTGCTGCTGTCTTCAAAAAGCCTCCCAGGGGACCGCTCTCTGCGCGTGCTGAGCATCCGGCCGGGGGACTTTTCTCGCTCCAGAGGCCGGCCCGGGGACTTGTCCCTGCGCAGCTCTGTCCGCCCCTCCCGGTAGCGGTGGGGTGTGCTTGGCTCTCGGGGGTGGCTGGGGCCTTCAGGGGGCGCTGGGCTTGAGGCCACACGCTTGGTGATGTGCTCATTGTATGTTGGTGGGCCTCGCTTGTTGGGGCTGTGGTAACAAGAGAGGAAGGTGGGTCATTGAGGGGTCAAAACCCCTCAGAGGCATCTTCCTCCTCTGAGCAACATCTCCTGGCTCCGTATCCTCAAGGATTAGAAAGACCAGGTTCTTCAGTCATTTGTTTGACTGTGGTAGTTAGGACAAGGGAACAAACCAAGATGGCAAGGAAACCAAGCTTCCTGCAGGATTCTGCGCACTGTACACCTAGTTTTGCTATCAGTCGAAAATGACTTGATGGCATTGGGTTTAGTGTGTGCCAGGCCCCGAGCTAAGCTCTTTTGTTTATTTAGAAGATACTCCCCTATCAACCAAATTCCCAGCCCCTGGAAACCGTAGATCTTTTGTTTTGACGAATTTGCCTATTCTAGCTATTTCATATACATGGGATCATTTATTTCTCCTTTTATATCATTTGGCATCTTGTCCTCAGGGTTCACCCTTGGCTAATGGTCCACTGTATGGAGAGAGCGCATTTTGTGGGCTACTCATCTGCAGATGGACACATGGGTGGGTCTCACGTTTTAGCTGGTGCCAACAGTGCTGCAGCAGGGTTCAACTCTTTCCAGGCATCATCTCATCAAATCCTCACAACAGCTCGAGAGCTACACTGCCCTCAATGTGCAGACAAGAGAAGGGAGACAGAGAAAGCTCCCGAGACTTGTCCAGGCTAGTCAGGGGCAAAGCTAGGAGCCCAGGTCATTCTGACTTTATCCCCACCCTCACGCCGGGCCCCCGGATCTAGCCTACCCACCTAGTATTTTACAGAAACAGAGGCACAACCCTGTGTGTGAGGGTTGCTGATCTTGTAATATTAGCTATTGTGGAGTCTAGTCCAATGCCTGGCGCACCCATGTGCACAGAGTAGGAATGCTCCACAGGGTATTTATTCTACGGTGTCTCTGGGTCAGTGTGAACCACTAGCCTTTTGGTTACCTGAGAGCTTCACTTTTTGCTCCACTTAGGGTTGAAGTGCACTGAAACCCAGCAGCCAGGGACCCACAAACACCCTCGATGCAAGGGAGCAGTTTTGAGAAAGCCGCCCACATCCTGCTATCTGCTCCCCCATCTCTCCAGGTGGGCTTTTCTCGAGCCTTTGTTGCACCCAGTGCTGATGGGATGCCCAGACGGTTGGTAATTCTCAATCATGGCAACGGGACAACTGAGAGGTATGGCGATCAGTAATGATGTAATTAGGAGATAGAAGAGACCAGAGAAAACTTGCAAACCTGGCTCAAAACACCTCACTCCAAAGGCTGATGGTTCCTAACTAAAACAGCTGAAATGCTGGGACCTTTCTGTGCTAACAACTCATCACCCTCCCCTAGTCCTGGTTAGGGCTCTGCAGAAGCAAAGATACAGCAACACAGAGAAGTCCAGTATGATCTTCCTGGCCTACTCAGCAGAAAAGGGCTGAGATTCTTGGCATCTTTGAGTAGCAAGTGCTAGGAAAAAGCAACCTATCTAAGATGGGGCCACACTGTAAAGTGAAGATTACTTGAAAACATAGTTTAAGCGGTTAGGGGGTTTATCTTGGAAAATAAAAGTAAAAACCAAGAAAATAGATTTATCCCATCTACTTAAAAAAAACAACTACATTATAAGTGAAATTACATGCAGATTCTAAGAATGAGCCAAGTATATATCCAATTTTCCCAACAGATTTGTATGATAACATACTACATCCTGCATGTCAACTTTGGGGCTACTTTGGGCTCTTGATCAAGACCATAAAGAAAATCATTTCTTAAAAAATATTTGAGATTTCACTGATGTTTCCCAAAGTGTTATCGTAATTATGGCTACGTAAACCTTTCTCTTTGGAAGAGGCTATGAGTTCAGGAACTTGTTGATGGTTTTCTTCAGTACTGGTCTATTTCTGGCAGAATCCCTTATGTTATCACCCATAATTGGGAAGCAACTGACCAACAAAGAAACTGACCCACAGTGGGGGGTGGGGGTGACGGTGCGAGGTGGGGTGTAGACTCTTGTGTAAGCTTGCAGGCCAAATCCAGACAGATGCCTTGTTTCTGTAAATAAAGTTTTATTGGAACACAGCCATCTGTTACTCACCGTCTATGGCAGCTTTCACACTAAAACAGACCACATGGCTTGCAAAACTGGAATAATTCATGATCCCTGCTCCTTTACAGAGAGTTTGCCAATCCCTGCTCTACAGTGAGGCTCTGAGGTGGGTGTAGGGGGAAGATTTCATAAGTGGCCGGCTCAGTTGTGAATATTTTCATATCATGTGCTTGCTTCCCCACACAGATAATAAATTCCGAGCAGCCCAGAGCTCCCTGTATTGTCTGTGTGACCATCAAACTAGAAATTCTCTGTTCCAACAGCTTGAGAAATCAAGGTTTATATGAACCTCTAGCCACAAGGCCTTGTGGGGGAAAAAACAACAACAACAAAAAACCAAAACAGATTCCAAGTAGGAGAACTACCATTAAGCACATACGGAACAGAAGAGAATTTATAAACTGTTTACACTGGGGTCCTGTAGCATGTAGGAGAGCCGCTAGGTGCCCTGAAGAAGATGGATGGGCTGGAGAGGGAAGGCTTTCTGTACGTCAACTTAGATTAATTGGAAGGAATTTCACACCAAGTGGGCACACTACCATTTCCATCAGTGACCAGTTATCTTACTATGTCAAGAGTTACATCCTCTGCTCTGCTAACAGACCAATGCAACAAGGTCTGTGGGTGAATCACAACCTACTTAGCTGGCCATACTGATTTGCTCAAGGCAGTCAGAAGCAAAAAAGCCTGTTTTCTAAGCCAACATGCTAGGGACCAACTGCTGGTTTTCCAGACATGCTTGCCAATGGCAGGAAAGCAAATGCATTTTTCTAACCTATGGGTTCACAGACACTTAAACCATTGTCAAGCATCAAATAAGCCACTCCTCAAAGAGAGAGATCACAAAATCTCTCAAAAGGAAGGTGCCAGAACTAAGGTACTGGCTACCCAAAATGGGGGGTGGGCGAGGGGGGCTACAAAGGCAAGAAGTAACTGAAATGTAAGCTTTCAAGAGGGAGCCTAGTTCCAGAGAGGGCGGGGGAAAGTAAAATCTCCACTGAGTGGTTTCCAATCTGTTGGGACAGGGCTGACGAAAGGAGATGGGGATAGGCCTCTTGTGGTACAATAGTCAACAATTGCTATCAGGACTGACTTTGAGGGTCAGAAATGTAAAGGTAGATGTTCTGAAATAAAACTGACTTTGCAGTCCAGGAGCGGAGGTCCCTGGGACCATCAAGGGAGAAGAGTGGAGCGTGGGACCCTACCCAGAGAAACAGTGATACCAGAGATGGAGGCAGAGATGATATGAAGAGATGGAGCAGCTGGGGACACTGGACTCAGCGAGGGAGAGGGGCTGTGTGCTGATGGCCGGTAAGTGGGGGGGGGAGGGGGGAGTAAGCAGACTTGCGGGGTGTATTCTGTGGTTGTTTGATGATGCATGGAGGGGATTGTAATCATTGCAATGAAATGAAATGCAATAGGATGAATGTAAAGCTGATGTTCACCCATGTAAATGATCACATAATTCACAATAAAAACTTAAAAAAATAAGGAAGGTGCTGGGCCATCTAACTTGGGAAACAATGAAAGAAATATCTAAGAAGCATTTTTATTTTACTGTATTTTTTTCCCCAAATGAAACACTGTTTTTGCCATGACTTGAAAACTACTTAAAGAAAAATCTAACATTTTCAGGAGAGGACTGTACCCTCTGAGCAGTCACTTTTGAAGCAGGATCAGGCCAAAGAGTTAGGAGCTTCTGGACACTGGGCCCTTAGGGATTTTCAGCTACTTCCAGAGATTAAAACCATACTGACCTAACATTGCTTCAGCACCAACCAAAGAAGAAAGACTGCTCACTAGGATACAGTCTCAGAATATTAAATTGTTGACGGCCTTTGCCAAGACGTAAGTATTTTGTAATATAAGACATGGTTCCTTCACCAAATGGAAAGGCCCTGAAGGAAGAGAAACAGTGCCTTCCTGTGTCTCCAGCTCCAAGCACTGTGTCTGGAGCTGTACGTAGGTTGTACTCAAAGAGCTCCACACCAAGACATATCACTGTTAAACTCTCCAAAGGCACAATTACATAATCTAGAAAGGAGCAAAGGAAGAACATTTCAACACATAAAAAGGGTTTTCATAAGATTAACAACTGTTGACTGTTGATCAGAAACCAAAGACACCAGGAGACAGAACGATGCACTCAAAGTACTGAAGTCAAAACACTGTCAGCCAAGAATTCTATATCCAGCAAAACTATCCTTCATAATGAAGCAAAAATAAAGCCACTGCCAAAGGAACAAAAACACAGTGTGTCACAACCAGTCAGACCTTCCCTACAAGAAATACCACAGTGTCCCCCAGACTGAAATGAAAGGGAGTGGGGAACGACTGCTCATGAGGATGAGCTCTTGTTTTAGGCGGTCCAGAGACTCAAAAATTAGATTGTGGCGGCAGTTGCTAAACACTAAAAATCACTGAATTATATACTTTAGATGAGTGAAGTGCAGTTTTTATGAATGATCTCTCAAACTGCTACAAAAGAAGAGGAAGAGTATGCACACAGACACAGACCCACACTTGCTTATATATGCATAAACGATCACCAGAAATGAAACCACAAAAGTGTAAAAGATTGTTCCTTCCAAGTAAGAAAGTGGGTAGCAGGATTAGGGGTGGGGATGAGGTACTCTTTTGTACTTTTTGAGTTTTCAACCATGCAATTGAAATAGATTTCTAAAAATTAAATGCTTTAAAAATTAAACAAACAAACAAACAAAAATTCATCCAGTCGTGATTTAGAGGTCATGGAACCCACCAGCCAGGCTTGAAATCCTTGGGGACGCTCCTTATCTTCCACTATGGACCTTTATTCTCCTCATATCCCCACCACAACCTCATTTCTTCCAGGAATTCCTTCTGTCCACCAAGACAAGGCCAAGGACCTCTTCTGAGCTCCCATAGTGCTTTTAACTACCCAGACAAGGCTCAGAGATCTGAAGAAAAATTTCAAAACTTGACTTACAATATACCAATCAGGCTGCTAATCTCAAGGTCAGCAGTTCAAAACTACCAGTGGTTCCATGAGAGAAAGATGAAGCTTTCTGGTCCCTGAGTCGGAAGCTTGCAGGGTCCCTATGAGTTGGAACCAACGACACAGCACATAACCACCACTACCACCACCACGGACAAAATATTGAATGATGCAGAAAGTATCAAAAGAAGATGGAAGGAATACACAGAGTCACTGTACCCAAAAGAAATGGTCGATGTTCAACCATTTCAAAAAGTAGTATATGATCAAGAACCAGTGGTACTGAAGGAAGAAGTCCACGCTGCACTGAAGGCACAGGCAAAAACCAAGGCTACGGGGACTGAAGGAATACACACTGAAATGTTCCAACAAACAGAGGCAGCACTGGAGGCACTTATTCATCTACACCAGGAAAACAGGGAGACAGCTACCTGGCCAACTGATTGGGAGAGATCCATATTTGCACCCACTCCAAATAGAAGTGAATATGGAAAACATAAAACAATTACCATTAATATTGTATGCAAGTAAAATTTTGCTTAAAATAATTCAAAAAAGAGCTGCAACAGTGCATTGACAGAGAACTTCAAGAAATTCAAGCTCGATTCAGAAGAGGATGTGGAATGAGGGATATCACTGCTGACGTCCAATGGATCTTGGCTAAAAGCAGACAATACCAGAAAGATGTTTACTTGAGCTTTACTGACTATGCAAATGTTTTCAACTATGTGGATCACGACAGGCTATGGATAACATTGCAAATAACAAGTACTCTAGACTATTTAACTGTGCTTACGAGGAACCTGTACACAGACCAAGAGGCAATCATTAGAATAGAACAAGGGGATACTGAATGGTTTAAAACCATGAAAGGTGGGCATCAGGGCTGTATTCCTTCACTATCCTTATTCAATCTGCATGCTAAATAAATAAATCCAGAAGCTGGGTTATATGAAGAAAAACATAGCATCAGCATTAGAGGACGACTGATTAACAACCTGCAGTATGTAGGTGGTACAACCTTGCTTTCTGAAAGTGAAGAGGACTTAAAAAAAACCTACTGATGAAGATGGGAGACTAGAGCCTTCAGTATGGATTGCACCTCAATGTGAATAAAACAAAAACCTCCATAACTGGACAATAAATAACATCATGATAAATGGAAAAAAGATTGAAGTTGTCAAGGACTTCATTCTTCTTAGATTAACTATCAACACACATGGAAGCAGTAGTCAAGAAATCACACGACGTAGTACATTAGGCAAATCTGCTGCATAATGCCTCTTTAGAGTATTCAAGAGCAAAGATGTCAGTCTGATAATAGGTACATCTGACTCAAGCCATTGTAGTTTCAACTACCTCATTCCACATATGCATGTGAAAGTTGGACAATGAATAAGGAAGACTATAGTAGAACTGTTGCATTTCATTTGTAGTGTTGGAGAAGAATATCAAACATAGCAAGGATTTCCAGAAGAACAATCAGGTCTGTGTTAGAAGAAGTACAGCCGGAGTTTTCATTAGAAACCAGAATGGTGAGACTCATCTCTCATACTGGAAAAGGACATCATGTTTGGTAAAGTGAAAAAGGGTCCGTGAAAAAGCAGAAGACGCCCATCGAGATGGATTGGCACAGTGACAGCAACCAGGGGCTCAAATGGAGCCAATGTGAGGATGGCACAGGACCGGGCAGTGATTCGTTCTGTTGGGAATGGGGTCACTATGCGTTGAAACGGTCTCTAAGATAACTAATAACAACCCCAACCAGAGCCTAGTCTTCCGCAGTGTGCTATAATGGCCTGTCTATTACTACTGGGCTGCACGTGTGAGCCGGGAGGAGCTATTCCCCACTCCAGCCCCTGCAGCGAGCCCTACAACTAGCAGGGCAAAATACCTGTTAGCCTGCACCATTCAAACACCGACACTGGCCACCCAGCATAGGAAAACCAGACGACGCTCTTCTTCTTTTTACAGGAGGCGTTTTTAGAGCTCTCCTGATGCTCGCATAGGACTATGTCATATAGACACTGAAGGCCTCAAAGAAATCATTGGTTTGCTTGAGGACAGAGGGAAGACTGCACAGCTGCTGGCCAGGTTAACCACATGCCCTCTGCTTTGGGCCCCTGAAATGAGAACAAGGAAGGTGGGCAGTGCGATACCTGCGCGAGGTGGAGGGCACCCGGTGGTGGTCAGTGCCGGACTCCTTCACAAGGTTTCCTTTGCAGCAAATGACCCTTAGTTTGTCCTGGTATGAGGAAGCCAGGTAAATCGCTCCTGACGAAATTGCAGGGCCCAGGTAGCGTGGGTTGGGGATTTCCAAATACGCTCGGGCCGGGGTCCTGTGAAATCCCAAAGGAGAGTTTTTATCTAGCAAGTCACCTCTATCAAGGTTAGGAAGAAAACACATTCCCCGAGGTCCCACCCTGCTCAGGTGAACTCTCCAATTCATAGAAGGGCAGTGCTTACCCCAGAGAGGAACGTGCCTGGATCTCAATTACTTCGAGTGAGTTGAAGTGGGTCACAAACAGGTAAGGTTCTCTGTAAGCTGCAGGTTACCACAGAGCAAGAGGACAGGGTGCAGAAGGTTAGACGAGAGAAGGGTACACCTGGCTGCGAGGCGTCCTTTGACCCAGCAATCCCAGAATGCCCACACCCACCAGGAGCCAGCACAATGATGGGAGTACGGTTCTCCAGGGCCATGTTGCTTATCATGACAGACGATGGAAACAACACGGTATCCATGAGGGGGAGATCAGTTACATAAACCATGGCACATGTATGGGGCTCTACACAGCTGTAAACTGTAGCAGGAAGTTCTCCATCATATGTTACCGCTTAGTACATAAAGCATGGTACAGTACGATGTATAAAGTGTGAGCCCTCACTGAGAAACAAGAGAGGGGAGAAGATACATTTCTATGTGTGTGTAGTTACAGAAAACACTGAAAAGGATAAGACAGTCATAAAAATGTTTTCCTTTGAGGTAGTGAGGAACCAGAAACAGGAAGAGGATACAATGGGTAAGCCTTTTCACTGCATACCTTCTTCTTATGTGGTTTGAACTGTTGAACTCTGTGCTTGTAGTCTAATAAAAAAGCTAAATTAAAAAGACACTAGGTTCATCAAGAGGTCTTTCGGCTCTTCTTCTCACGCTCTCAGCACCTGACTTGAACTGCTTCCTGCCTCACTGGATTGGAGATTATCATCACTGTTCCTCATGGAAACAACTAGGTTGGCTTTAGATCAGTCCATGCCTTCCAGTATTCAGGCCATTGTGTCATCTCCTTGGCCTGGAATTTGGGCAGACCTTATGGCCTGCTTTACCCAACAGAATGTAGTGGTCCTGAAAAGATTTGCCATCTTTTCTTCTGCACTCTTGGAAGAGGCCCAAATGAAGAAGAATCGAGGGATCCCAGCCAAGAGCCCAGCTGACCAGTGCCCATTGCCTGCCATGCTTGTGAAGCCATGTGGGAACTTCTAGTGCCCCCACTAACAGCCCATGAAGCCAAACTGACCAATCAACCCACAGAATCAAGGGCAATCGTAAGCTGATGTTGTTGGAGTCACTAGCTTTAGAATAGCTTATCCTGGAGCAATCCACAAACAAGATACCCTTTAAAAGGCATTTCAAGCATAAGGATATTTTTGGACATTTGCACAGACATGTTACACACTCATATGTATGTGTTATTCTATGACTCAGAGCTCCACTTTTAGGGACTGTTCATAAAGGAATATTATCAATTAGGTGCAAAAAGGTTAGTATAAATACGGACGCTCATAAGAGCCCTGTTTACACTTAGAAAAAGAATGAAGACAACCTAACTGCTTTGCTTCGTTTGTTGTTGTGAAGTGACGTCAAATCACTTCCACCTCACAGCAACTTGGTATAGGGTTTCTGAGGACTGGCTGGTGGATTTGAACCACCAAGCAGGCAGTTAGCAGTCCAATGCTTACCTGTAGCGCACCACACCAGGACTCCACTTTGCTTAACAGTTGTGGTTGTTGTTAAGTGCCACTGAGTCAGTTCCAACTAACAGCTACCCTGTATAGTGTCTGAGAAGCAGCTGGTGGGTTTGAACTGCCAACCTTATGGTTCAAACCAACCTTGCAGGCCAGTGCTTATCCTACAGCGCCACACCAGGACTCCATTGCTTAGTTGGTGGTGGTGGTAATGTGCCGTGGAGTCGATTCTGACTCATAGCGACCCTCTACGGAGTTTCCGAGGCTGTAAATCTTTACGGAAGCAGAAAGCCTCATCTTTCACCCACAGAACAGCTGGTAGTTTCGAACTGCTGACCCTGAGGTTAGCAGCCCAATTCGTAACTACTATGCTACCAGAGCAAGAAGTGGTTAGCTAGGCCTTGGGATGTGCATGCAGCCTCAGCAGGTGATGGTTTTCCTTCCAACATGAGAATTTAAAAAATAGTTCACATAGCTGGGGGAGTGACCCAGTGGCCTGAGTTTGCTTGGTGCAAATCTTCATCAAGCTTCAGAACCTCTGCCATGACTACAAGTTGGGTCACTTGGCGTCGAATGGCATCCCAAAGCACAATGTCTAGGCCAAAAAAATTTCTACCTGCAATTCTCTCCCCCAGACCTCACGGCTAGCAAGCGGAACCCTCCACACCTTGCCTCACTTACCAAAGGCCAAAGGTAAGCGACTCCACTTGAGGTCATCAGTGCGGCTACGTCTCCCATAAGAATCCACGAACACCCCAAATTCTGCAGGGAGCCAAGAGCCCAGGGGCATTAGCAGAGGCAGAGGGAGAGTTTCCACAATGTACACTTTGACGGAAGAACAAGGGAAAGAGTCTGTGGGATTCTAGATGGTTAAAACCTGAGGACCTGTCTGAACTATGCCTGTGACTGACTAAAGAGGGCTCCAGTGAAATGGGGGCAGAGGAAAGAAAGGGGGAAGAAACAGATGAGAGGGAGCAGACAGACAGGGGTAAGAGTGAGAGACAGATTGGGCAAACGGGGAGAGAAGAAGAGAAACTGCAAGAGAAGAGAAACGAGAAGGTAACAGAAGTGAGATTTTTATTGCATACCTTTGCATATTGTGAGTGTTGGACCAGAGAATTGCCTACCTCTTCAAAAAATACTGAAAACACACATGGGGTTCATAGATAGTTAGGTATTTCTGATCCTAATACAATCTGTGGAGCTGCAACTTTGAAGGAGGAGGAGCAAGGAAAGGCAGTGAGAAAGAGCAGCAAGGGACAGAGGAGGGGAGAATGTGACAGAACTGGACACCACCAGGCAGCCTTTGTGGCACTTAAACAACACTATCTCTGCCGCCAACAGGATCTAGCCTGCCCCGACACACACTGACCATCTCCCTACCCTGGACGGGCCTAGACTGGTTTCCTGGTGTCCACAAGCACCCAGACTAGGGGTGGGTGGGCTGGACCAAGGCTCTGGACTCCACAGCCAATGACAGTTGGCTACTACTCACCATGGAAGCAGAGCAGGTACTCTTCGCGCTGCCCTGCTCCGTTCACCTGCACGATGGCCACAGGGAAGCTGTTGGAAGAGGAGGCAAACACAGCAGGAGCCAAGGAATGGTCATTCTTATCCAGGAACTCTGTAAAGGCAGAAGAAGCAGAGGGCTTCAGCAATGTTCTTTGGTTCTCTGCAAGCCTGGGAAATGGGGGGAGTGGGCACGGGGGACTTGGGGGCAGGCCCTACCCTCAAGCGTGTACTGCTTCATGTCAATTTCATAGAATTTATTGGTTCCAATGAGGATACTGTAGTTGGTGAAGTGGATACAGCTGCAGGGCTCTGAGGTCTCGATCTCCTAGAGGTGGGAGCGCAGAGGACGACAAGAAAGTGAGCCCAGGACAGCCAGATTTCCACGGCTGTTGGGCTCATGCTTGACACAGTTTATAGAGCTCTGCAGACATGCCACCAGACTCACTCAGCCCCTCATCAGGACTGAGCACCAGGCTTTCTCTTCCTCTTTTTCTAATTACCCCAGGGTAAAAGAATAAAGTTGAATTATAGCCCCAAAAGGGCCAGAAGCACCATTGCAATGAAAAGGGTCCATTCAAAGACAGAAATGTAAATATGCAACATTCTTATCAGAGAAGAAAGACTGAAAGAAGAATACACCAATTACCAACAGTGGTGGTTAGAAGTAGTCAGACTTCTCCTCTTTGTTAGCTTGTAAATTTCCATTTTGAACACCTATTAACATTAGATCATCACTTTCAACATATCTTAATTTTCTGCTCCCTATTTATTTGGAGTACTGCTGTGGTGTTGTAGGATGAGCACTGGACTGCTACTCACAGGTCAGTGGTTCAAATCCACCTTCGAAATCCTATACAGGATTGCTGTGAGTCAGAACCAACTCAGTGGTACTTAACAACAATTACAACCCTACTTATTTCTACCTTTTTTTAGACCAGTCCTAATGAGTCCTGATGTGGCGCTGTGGGTTAATGCGCTGGACTGTAAAGCCAGTTTGAACGGCAAGGCCGGCGGCTCAAGCTCAAGCTCACCAGCTATGGGCTGGAACTGATTCGACAGCACTTAAGAACAACAAAATGTCTTCAACGGCATTTAACAACACCAGGCATGCTTACTCAGAGTGGTAGCCAGGAGGAATAATGTAGCAATGATTTCTGGGATTTTTCCTGAAGTCTAACAGTTCAAACTCTAATCAGCATTATGGTCATCATCACTATTTATTGATCAACTACTAAATATGGGCAAGCTTAAGCAGCATGGGATAGTTAAGTGGAAAGGAATATCGAAGTTCAATTTCAGTTTTGACATCATAACTTAGAACCTCACTGAGCCTCAACTGCCTTACCTAAAAACTGGGATTACCACGCCAGCTCTTCAGAACAGCTGAGAAAAGTGTCTGTAAACCGGCCAGCTCCATCGCTAGTCCAAGGAGGTACTCAATGATGAGCGCAAACTAAGCTAACAACGTCCTGCCCAGAATGCAGAAGTTCAACCTAACAGGTAGTGACCCTAATAAAGAGCTTTGGAGGTGCAGTAGTTAAAGCACTAGTCTGCTAACCACAGTCAGTGGCTCCCACGACCTGCTGCTCCACAGAAGAAAGATGTGGCCATTGGCTTCTGTAAAGATTACAGACTTAGAAACCTTATGGACAGTTCCACCCTGTCCTATCAGGTCACTACAAACTGGAATCCACTTGAAGTCAATGGACTTGGTTTGGTTTGAATGACCCTTATATGATCCCTCCTCTTTTCATACCAAAAATCAAGCTGGCTGACAATGGGTGGGGAACATTGTCTAGGGAGAACAGGGCCTTCCTTGGAAATGAGTTAAATCCAATGCTCTGACATGCACGTTCATCTGGCTGGACAGTGAGCAGCAGAAACGTGAGGGGAGAACTTCAGCTACTAGTGGCTCTGAATATTCCTCCAGGCAGGAGGGTCTCGAACTCTGAGGAGACCACCCCCCCGCCAAGCCCCCTTCCGCAGACTAGAAGTACCCAGGCTGCTCCCAGGCAACAGGAGACTCTCCTCACCCGTGCACTAGGAGTGGGGCAGACTGAGCCACACTCATCTGGGCACAGCGCGGACGTACCTTGCGGATGCAGTACTTGCTGAGGTTCTCGTTGTAACGAAGAATGACAACTTTGTTGGGCATGGCTGCACAGATGCAGAGTCCATTCTCAATCTGAGCAGCAAACGGGGAGGGGGCGGGAGAACGAAAAGGAACTGTCACCATAGCAAAACGAGGAAAAGGACATCCACTTAAAACCGCGTTCCTCGATGGCAGCCCTAGCCACATTCTGGAGTGGATAACCTACTTTTCTATAATTTATTTTGTTGTTGTTGAGAACACATACCAATTCAATAGTAGGGCCACATACCACATGGTGACCTTCGTTACCTTCTTCAAGCTGGGCACAACCATCCTCACCCTCCTTATCCGAGTTGTTACTCCCGAGGTGACATACTCACTGCCTCCCCCCACCCCCCACCCCCAACCTTCCGAGTTGCTGTTCTCTATTTGATATAGAGACAGAGGTACAGATAAAAGAGCACAAAGCTCGAGGCAGAATTCTTTACTAGTTAGGCTAAACTACTGTTTGGTTTTAAGAGGTCTTCGGGGGATATTTTTTTTTTTTGTTTTAAGGCAAAAAGCTTCTCTCCATATGCAATATGCAGATGATACAACCTTGCTTGCTGAAAGTGAACAGGACTTAAAACATTTACTGGTGAAGATCAAAGAGCACAGCCTTCGGTATGGATTACATCTCAATGTAAAGAAAACAAAAATCCTCACCATTGGACCAATAAATAGCATTCTTATCAACAGAGAAAAGATGGAAATTGTCAAGGATTTCATTCTTATTGGATCAACTATCAACACTCATGAAAGCGCAGTCAAGAAACCAAACAACGTAATGCATTAGGCAAATCTGCTGCACAAGACCCTTTTAAAGTGTTGAACAGCAAATATGTCAGCTTGAGGACTAAGGTGCGCCTGACCCAAGCCATGGTATTTTCAATAACCTCATATGTATGTGAAAGCTGGACAGTGAAAAAGGAAGACCGTAGAAGAATTGATGCTTTTGAGTTACGGTGTTGGAGGAGAATACTGAAAGTGCCATGGGCTGCCAAAAGAACCAATAGATCCGTTTTGGAAGAAGTGCAGCCAGAAGGAGGCCAAGATGGACAAACTTCATCTCTCATACTTTGGACATATTATCACGAGGCAGCAGTCGCTGGAGAAGGATATGATGTTTGGTAAGGTGGACGGTCAGAGAAAAAGAGGAAAAACCCCAGCAAGATGGATTGGCCAAGTGGCAGCATCAATGGGCTCAAGCATGGCAACAATAGTGAGGTTGGCCCAGAATCAGGCAGTGTTTCCTTCTCCTGTGCATAAGGTCACTATGGGTTGGTACCGACTCGATGGCACCTAACAAAAACCACAACTAGGCAATAGTTTTGGGGGTAGATCCAGTCTGGACTTGAAATTCTGTTCAATATTTCCCTCTATATGATGAGGATTTTTTTATGGAATCTTGGATCAATGATCTTCAGTCAAGGTAGGCAAGCACCTTCCTGCTTGTGGACCCGATAATCTTTATCATAGAGGCTGCCATGTGCCTTGTAGATGCCTACCCAATAGATGTCCATAGGACCAACCCCCTAGGTGGGACAACCAAGAATGTCTCCAGACAATGCCTAATGTCCCCTGGTGGGGCAGAATCTTCCCAGTTGAGAACTAAAGCTTTAGAGCCGCGTCTTTCACGGAGACCCAGAAGTGGCTCCAGGCGCTCCACCTGACGGCCCCGCACACACACACACAGTTCAATACATTAGTGTTGTGGACTGAACTGCGGCCACTCACACACGTGTCATGGCTGGGCCATGAGTTTCAGTGGTTTGGCAGTCATGTAATGATCCCCATGATGTGATGTGATGAAACAAGTCAATCGGGTGCAAGAAGATTATGGGTGGGATGCAATACCCTTGATCCAGTTCGAGATCCTGATCCAATGGAAGGGGAGTTTCCCTGAAGTGTGGTCTACAACAACTCTTCTTACAAGAGATCAAAGGAGAGAAAAGTGAGCAGAGAGAACAAAGAGGAGCCAGGAGTGCTTCCTTCAGACCTGGGTCCCTGTGCTCTGATGCTCCTAGACCCAGGAGGAGACTGACACCAAGATATACGGAGCTCCCCAAACAATGACAGGCCTACAGATGCCGAAAGGTGACAAGGATCCAGCACCAACAGGGAGAGAAAGCCGGCACTAGGTAACTAAGACAGTCAAAAACTACCAAAGCATAAACTTGAGTTTTCAATGAACTGACTTTGTGATGTACATGCTGCACATTAGAAGTGAGCAGTGTGGCACTATGGGATAAACCATGGCAAGGTTGAACTGGTTCAAACTCACCAATCACTCCATGGAAACCCTTTGCAGGGTCACTGTGAGTTTGAACTGACTCAATGGCCTGAACAAGAGCAACAATCTAGCTAATACAACTTCCCTTCATCCAGTTCAGCTAGGAAGATTCAGGTTAGATTGCTTTTTTTTTGAAAAAAAAAAAAAAAAAAGGTGCTATACATATGCATGCCATGTGTTAATGTGCTAGACTACAAAGTCGGTTTGAACTGTAAGGTTGGCGGTTCAAGCTCACCAGTCGCTTCTCGGAAACCCAATGCAGAGTCTCTCCGGATCAGAACCGACTCTACAGCACTTAACAACAACAATACGTAGGTATACACATTCAATTCCTTTAGATTCAAAGTCTGGCAAATTTCATGGCTACACAAATTTTTTCAGATGCCCAACGGAAGCAATAAAAATTTGACCCAATTTGAGGACACACAATTTTCAAGGCCAAATCGTAAGTCCTGTGGGAACAGAGGCTGTGCCAATTTCAAGAACATTCAGCGCTGAGACTCTGAGGAGAGGCTTACCTTGCCAGCAGCAAATAAATGGCAGCCCTTGACAGCTTCGAAAATGTTGGGTGAGATGTCAGGCTGGGCGGGGAGGTGAGACTGAGCTAGAGACTGCTTCACTTTCTTCACGTCCACAAGGCATAGGGCCCGCTCCTCCCCTGCAGGAGAAAGGAGCAGCCTGTCCTGTCCGTGTGAAGCCACCAGGCAAGGGCACAGGAGGACAGGTGCACAAATGAAAGACAGTAATATGGCCTTTAGTTCAAGAGACTGCGACATAAAATTACAGAATGTGAACTGTAACGGCTCAATTCCAACCGAAGAAAAGACAGATTGCTCCAGGAAACAATCAGGGGTCATGTGGTAGGAGCAACAGGTCTGCACTCGTCAAGGATGTTAAGGCTAGCACACGCAAGAGAAGGCTGCAGAGCTGGTCCAGATTAAAGGGGCTAAAGAGATATGAAGACTGAATGCAACTCCTGGATCAGGAATCAAGGAAAAAAAAATACTCTAAAGGGTATTACTGGGATCACAGATCAAGTTTCACCATGGACAGCGTATCAGATAACTGCACTATAGCAAGGATTACATTTTCTGAATGCACGATTATGTGGGTGAGAGCCCTGGAGTTTGGGTGATATGCTAAAGTACTTAGCATTACAGTGTCTGCAACTGACTCTGAAATGGTTGTGAAAAAATACCCTGTAAGTGTGTGTATGTGTGTCCACATGTGTATGGGAATACAGAAAACTGTGCTAAAATGTCAACAAGAGGTGAATCCAGATGAAGTGTCTACAGGAGTTCACAAAGCAATAAAAATCTGAGCGCTAACCGAGCAGGCAAGCTCTCAGATGGTCAAGGCCCACCATGGTACTGACAAAGCGAACACAAGTTTTGCCTTTAAGGGGTCTTGGAAGCTGGCCACTCTTCACTCAGCATAATGGTCAGATATTCCTTGTGGGTGTAAGACTGCGCTAAAATGGACCCTGAGAGGGATCTGAGTCTGGACAGAGAAAGCCCATCAGTGGAGGTGTGTACATGGACAAAGAAGGAAAAACCATTTGTTTTTCCTGTTTTACAATGGTAAAACACAAAATCATTTCAATTCATTTACCTAAAGAGTGAAGACATTGCAAAAAACACACCTATGAATGTGATGAAGCATATGGAAGCAAACAAGGAAAACTTCTGAGATATCAACAAACATCTTAAAGTAATGTGTTAGTCTCAGGGGACACCATGGTCAACTGGCATTAATGTAGTTCACAAAAACAATACTCTGCATCTTACTTTGGTGAGGAGTGACTGGGATCTTAAAAGGTAATGAGCAGACATCTAAGCTGCAACTATTGGTCTCTCCATGTGCGGAAGAATGAAGAGTGATAAAATTTTGAAGTTCCTTGGAATCAACTAGCCCAATGGAACATGTGAACATCAGTCATCATGACTCTGAGACCATAAGAACTAAATGGTGCCCAGTTACCACTTTGAACTGCTCTGAAAGGGATCATGTTAGAAGGTCTCAGATAGAGTGGGAGGAAATGTGGAGCAAACTCAAAATTATGAAACAGACTAGGCTTTGCTGGTCAAAAAGAGACTGGAGGAAGCAGAAACTATGGCCTTCGACCAATCTTCAGATCTGGAAAGGAATTCACCCTCGTGGCCCAATTTCCAGTCAGTCAGTAGACAGGTTTATAGGAGGAACAGCAACACTAGTAAGGTATGCTCACCATGGAATCAAGATCAAAGGACCAACATTTACCTAAGGACAAAGCTGAGAAGGGATGAGGAGGGTGGAATGGAAATAAGAACTACAGGGAGGAAGCGGGAAAACTGTTGTTTCATTGATGGGTTTGCCATCATTGAGAGGAAACGAAGTGTATGATTTGTTGAATGTAAAACAAATGAATCTTCTCTGTAAACCTTCAGGCCATTCACAATGAAATTTCTTTTCAAAAGAGTAAGAAGACAGAGCGCTATGCCCGTGGCCCAACACCTGCTATCATGAGCAACTTCTCCAGGTCCTTGATGACATAAATCTGGAAGACGGCTCCAACGCCTGGGACGTGGGTGAGAGAGTTTTTCAAGACATTCAGTGCATAGAGCCCTTCCTCGGTGCCCACCAACACCACCTGCAGGGGTAGAAGTCCAAAGGTAGAACACAGGTAGAATCACATTGCCATCAGAATCCAAAAGGCAACTAAGCCACATAAACCCTTTAATCCTTGACTGTGTGGCTCCAGTCAGATACCAGCTGGCAGTGCCCAGAAACCCTTACCTGATCACTGAAGGGCAGTGTGCAGTTCATGTCGAGACGGTCATCGCCTTCCAGCTTTAACAGAGAGTTCCCAAGCAATTTCTTTGAGCACAAGTGAGGAAAGGAGAAGGAAGGATGCGGTCAGATGGCATACTCATAAGCAAAGCACACAGAGAGAACAAAGTAAAAGCTGTGAGATGTGTCATGCCAGGAACACAAGCAGGGCACTCCTGTATATGCTTAGAAACACACACCTGCTCTGGGCTGGCCCCACATTTTGACCATATTTTACTCAAAAGGCAGCATGTGTCACTGGTCTCGCTGGGACAGTTGTTAATCAGCATTGGAGTTATAACTTGGCGTGGGTGCAGAAGTAAGTAAGGGTAGGAGACACAGGCTGCTATTTTGAATTAGAAAAAGGGTTGAAACTGAAGCGATTCCACCTGTAAAGGGTTAGTAAGCCAAGGGAAGGCACCTCCCCCCTCTACTGCAGCAATACCCGGCACAAGTGGGAAGAGAAAATCTGCAGAGCTCTGGGCCCTCAGTCCTTTACCTGAACCCCCGCAGGCAGAATTTCATAGGAAAAACAGTCCAGGGCCTATTGTACACACAGTAACGTGGATTTCAGTAGAGGCTTACACTCGTATAGCAAAACAGGTCATCAAAACAGGTGTACTCAGTGAGCAGAGCTCTTAGCCCAAGGCTATACCAGTGAAGAATTTTTGGGTCGCTAACACTTGAAGTGTTTATTAGGAGGTGAGTGTTTTAAAAGAGCTGTTGGGTACTTGGGGGAGTAAAAGCCAATGAGCGCTGCGCATGTCCAGGAATGTTCAAGGTGGAACGCTGCCAGTCAAGTGACACCTACGTTTCTAACAAATACTGCAGAAGGGAAGGAATCGAGAAGGCTATGAAATGCCTTTCTGAGGGAGACATGTGGGCCACACACAGCCTTTTGTGATGCTTCAGGGTCCAAGTGCTTAGAACCCAAACCTTCAAATGAAATGACACACACAAGTGTGTGTGCAGCAGTACTGCCTATACAGCAGCTGGCTCAGTGCTGGCCCCGTTCTAAAGCTGTGGACGGAGAGCCTGTCATACCACCCAGGTCCCAGCACACATCCCTGTCATAGCTCAATGTCAGGCCAACAACCCTGAGAGACGGAGCTGGAGAGACGTGGTGACAGCCCTCCCATCTGTACGATGAGTTACTCAGCCACACTGCTCTGCGAATGCAAGACCCTGCACCCACGGCCATACTCACAGCATCAGCTTCTGCTTTCTCCCTGGACACTCGTCCACCTGCGACCACTGATTCTAAGGCAGTGACCCAGCGCTGTTTGTCGGGAAAGCTGGGAGCTAGCAAGTACAGGGTCCTCCCAGGCCAACAGGTGGTATGTGGGTGGGATTCCATCTTCAATATGTATGGGACATCTAGGAGGAGTTACAGAACATAGGCGGTGTGAGGATATCTAGGAGGAGTACCAGAGAACACAGGAGGTACGGGGACATCTAGGAGGGGTCTCAGAGCACACCCCCACCTCCCGGGCACCTCCTCACCTGCTTTGGCCGTATTTGCAAGTTCAGAAGCACCAACGGCACCGTGAATAGACACGTCCCCATCGGGAAGGCACAGCTCAAATTCCTCCACCGGCCTCTGTCCACCTTGGTGCAAAAAGGAAGGGCAGAAAGAAAAACCAAAGAACAGGAACAAGAACAAGGAGATGAGAGGAAGAGAGGGCGAGGGAGCAGGAGCGGCAGGGAGGGAGACAGGTGTGCATGTGACAGGGCACACAAGAAGAGGAGGAGGGAAAGAGGTGCAGAAAAGGCGGAGAGGGAAGATAAACAAAATAAAGTGTGTCAGATGAGTGGCACAGTCAAATTTCGGATGACGCTGTGGATTTATAGGCTAGTTGACTGAGGCAGAAGTTCTCTGAAGGTGCATTAGCAGGTAGACTCTTCAGGCCAGCACCCTGCGGGTTCTTCAGAGGGGAGACCTATAGGTGTGAGTATCGGACCAATAACCTTTAGCGAAGTCATTTGGTTTTTAGTTTTCAAAAATGGGAAAACCGTAGGAAGGCTTTCACGGCAATGCAAAAATCAAACGAAACAAAACTAAAAACACACAAGGCCTTCAGGCCAACACTTGGAAACCTGGGTCAGCCACGTGCATGAAATACCCCCTGCATCATTCATTTACCTTCTCTGGATTCACTGTCATAAATGAGGACTTTAGAACCTTCCAGAACAATGTACTTCCTGTCCCAGCCTTGCTGTCCTCGTTTATTATTCCTGTAAAACAAGGATTCAGAAGGAAAGGGTGTGGACTCCGCAGAGGCAGAAAGAAAGGACAGGAGAGTAGGGTGGCGCTGGCGTCCTAGAAAAGACACTGTCCTAGAAAACATCTGGAAGTACCTGTGGCCTTCTGTGCCAGCACCTGCCCCAGCCAAAACCACCCGGCAACACTACCTGGGCACTTTCATCCAGCCCTCCAGGTGCAAGCTGCTGCTGGACTCCTTGGCCTGGAGACCTGGGGAGTTCATTTTGTCCCGGCAGAAGGCCTCGGTGAAGTGCATGGCATACTCAGCAGGTAGGCCGCAGGTAGCTGGCATGCAGGTGGAGCATTTGGGATGACACATCACCTGGCATTCTAGGGAAAAGCAGTGAATAATGAGAAACCATGCTCGGTTGGTCATGGACTGCTTCCTTCCTGTGCCAGCCAGGCCCCACCACCTGGTCCTGTCTGTCAACCAGGCAAGCCCTGAGCGGCCTCAGGTGCCAGGCACCTACCGAGAGAGACAGTAAGAGAACCAAGGGCTCTCAGCCTACTTTCCCCGCCTTTTCCCCAGGTAGCCCAAAACAGGTGTAAGAAGGATGCACTTGAACACTGCAGTTGGCACCAGCACCCAGCCTTGAGGCAGGGCAGGACCACTCTGACAAGGAGAGGGCTGGAAATCCACGAAGCCCAAGACACTTTTTCTCAGTGGGTTGTAGTCATGAGCTGAAGACATGTGTAAGCTCACTCCTTTAACAGGAGAAAAATAGAGTCCTCCCACTGAAAACCAGAGCTTGCAAATGAATGTGCTATATGATTAAGAGGGAAGAAAGCCCTCAAACCCACCTCCACCTAACAGGATTTTCAGATGGAAAAGTGCAGGTGGCTTGGCAAATGCACAGCTGCAGCTCTTACCGAGACATTTGGATGCCTGGCGTCCAAAGTGCACAGTGTCCAGACACACAGCGCACTTCGTGGCTCGCATGTTCAGTCCCACGTTGAAACGGTGAGGAATGTTATGGTGCATGCGCTCCTTAAGACGCCGACTGAATTCTGGAAGAACAATGTAGGCCATTACCCATTGCTGTTGAGTCAGCTCTGACTCAGAGCAGATACGTAGGCTCAAGTACAAATGCCCCAAGGCTGTGACTCGTTATGGAAGCAGACTGCCACATCTTCCTCCCTAGGAGCAGCTTACAGGGTTCAAACCACCAACCTTCAGGTAGCCAAGCACTTATCTGCTGTGCCACTTGTTATTATTGTTAAGAGCCGTCAAGTCAGTTCAGACTTATAGTGACCCTGAATAAAGTTTCAGAGAAGCACCTGTTGGGTTTGAATCGCCAACCTTGTGCTTAGCAGTATAACGCTTATTCTATACAGCACCACACCAAGAGTTCTGGTAACACAGTGGTTAAAAGTCGGGCTGCTAATCTTAAGGTCAAAAGTTCGAAATACCATTGGTTCTACAATAGAAAGATGAGGTTTCTGCTTCCATAAAGGTTTACACCCTCAGAAACCCTATACAGGGTCATTATGAGTCAGAACTGATTCCACGACACATAACCACTACTGCCACAGCACCACACCACATGTCCACTGGTGGTTAAGTGCCATGGAGTAGGTTCCAACTCACAATGACCGTATAGGGTTTCCAAAGCTGTAAATCTTTGTTGTTGTTGTTAGGTGCCATCGAGTTGGTACTGACTCATAGTGACCCTATGTACAACAGAACAAAACACTGCCCGATCCTGGGCCAACCTCACAATTGTTACCACGCTTGAGCCCACTGAAGCTGCCACTTGGCCAATCCATCTGGCTGGGGGTCCTCCTCTTTTTCTCTGACCCTCCACCTTACCAAACATGATATCATTCTACAGTGACTGGTCCCTCCTGACCATATGTCTGAAGTATGAGAGACAAAGTCTGGCCATCCTAGTCTCCAAGGAGCATTCTGGCTGCACTTCTCCCAACACAGATCTGTTTATTCTTTTGGCAGCCCATACACTTTCAATATTCTCCTCCAACACCATAACTCAAATGCATTAATTCTTCTGTGGTTTTCCTTATTCACTGTCCAACTTTCGCATGCATATGAGATTATTGAAAATACCATGGCTTGGGTGAGGCACACCTTAGTCTTCAAGCTGACATCTTTGCTCTTCAACACTTTAAAAAGGTCTTGTGCAGCAGATTTGCCTAATGCAATATGTTGTTTGATTTCTTCACTGCGCTTCAATGAGTATTGATGGTTGATCCAAAAAGAATGAATTCCTTGACAACTTCAATCATTTCACTGTTGGTCAGAGTGTTGTTTATTGGTCCAGTGGTGAGGAGTTTTGTTTTCTTTACATTGAGGTGCAATCCATACCGAAGGCTGTGCTCTTTGATCTTCATCAGTAAATATTTTAAGTCCTCTTCACTTTGAGTAAGCAAGGTTGTATCATCTGCATATTGTAGGTTGTTAATGAGTCTTCCTCCAATCCTGGTGCCACATTTTTCTTCATATAACCCAGCTTCTCGGATTATTTGCTCAGCATACAGATTGAAAAAGTATGGTGAAAGAATACAACCCTGTCGCATACCTTTCTTAATTTTAAACCATTCAGTGTTCCCATATTCTGTACGAACAACTGCCTCTTGGTCCATGTACAGGTTCCTCATGAGCACAATTAAGTGTTCCAGAATACTCTTACTTTGCAATATTGTCCATAGCTTGTTAAGATGCACACAGTCAAAAGTCTTTGTGTTATCAATAAAGCACAGATAACATCTTTCTGGTATTCTCTGCTTTCAGCTAAAATCCATTGAACATTAGCAATGATATCCCTCGTTTCATGTCCTCTTCCGAATCTGGCTTGAACCTCTGGAAGTTCTCTATCTATGCATACTTGCAGCCATTTCTGTATTACCTTTAGTAAAATTTTCCTCTCATGGGATAACAAAGATATTGTCCAATGATTTCCACATTCCTTTGGGTCACCTCTCTTTGGAATGGGCATAAATACAAATCTCTTCCAATCAGTTGGCCAGATTGTTGTCTTACAAATTTCTTGGCATATATGAGTGAGTGCTTCAAGTGTCACCTCATTTTCTTGAAAGATTTCAATTTTTATTCCATTCAATTCCTGGTGCACTGTTCTTTGCCAATTATTTCAATTCACCTTGGACTTCTTCCTTTGGTATCGTTGGC